AAAAGCCACGTCAGCCAGTCAGTCATCCAGGGATCTCTCTTGCCTGTCTGAAGCTGAAATGCCGGCTCTGTGTATGAGGAACAGTGATCCACACATACCTCTCTCTCTGCTCTGAATGCTCTGTCAGAATGATTTCACTTAAAAAAGCTGTAGTTTTAATAAATTATATTCACTGAATAAATGAGAGGATAAGGTCCAGCCTCGCTACTCTAATTGCATTATACATATATTTATACCTGCAACGTTTCTTGAATTTCCCACTAAAAGTGTGCAGACATCAAATCGTTACAGCACAGAAGAAAGCCATTTAGCCCATTGAACCTCTACAACAATAATAATCCTTACATTTATAAACACTTTCATGTCAGGAGGACATCCCCAAATATTTCGCAGAATTTATAGTGAAGTGTAGGGACTGTATATTTGTTAGCGAACGCGGTAGCTAATTTGTGTCCATCAATATCCCACAAATAGCCATGAAATAAATGACCAATTTTATCTGTGAGATTGTTGGCCGGGACACTGGAGAAAACAGGCACTGTTTGAATAATGCCTTGGGATCTTTAACATCTACCTGAACAGGCAGACAGGACCTCGGTTTAATGTTTCATCCAAAGGACAGCACCTACAACAGTCAGGTTACCCCCAGCAACACACCAATTGTATCAACTTAATCCATATGAATTCCAAAGTGGGTCTTAAAAAACGTGAGGGAGCAAGTCACAGGTATTCCGGGGTGGAATTCCAGGGAGTGGGGGCTGAAAGGCTGAAAGCCACGTGGGTAGTATAGGGGACATGAAGCTGGCTGGTGCTCACTGAGAGAAGCTTGAAGAAAGTCGCAGAGGTAGGGTGGGGTGAGATGGTGGAGGGATTTAATGATGAGAATGTGAATCCTGTACTTTAATCCCAGTTTCCTGCTCTTTCACCATAGCCATCACCAGAGTCTTTCAAATATTTACCAAATCCCTTTTAAAGTCTCAGCTTCAGTCATCAATTCTGAAAAGCTTCCCAAACTGCTCCCTCTAACTTCCGCTGAACTCTCCCAGTGACAAGCCTGTGCTCATGCCTCCCACTCACCCCTTCACAATCCAATACAAGGACAAGTAAGAAGGGTATACATCGGAAAGCAAACAACATCTAAGAGGGAAAAAAATAATCATTGACAATGGAAAAGAAGCTGTCAAAAATAATAAAATAATAATAATCCTTACATTAGATTCAACGCTGTTCAAGTCAGGAGGACAGATCAAATCACTGTAAAGAGTAATGACTACTTTGTAGGCGAACACAGCAACCAATTTGCACACAGCAAAGACCCACAAATAGCCATGAGGTGAATGGGACATTTTTGGCCATGACACTGGGAGAAACTGCCTGCTCTTTTCAACTAATGCTAAGGGATTATTAACAGCCATCTTTACAGGCAGATGGGACCTTAGTTTAGTGTCCCATGTGAAAGATAGCACTTCCGACAATACAGCACACCCCCAACACTACACTGGAGCGTCAGCTTAGACTGTGAGTTCAGAGTCGCCATGTGACGCTTGATCCTATAACAACAACAACAAAATTACATTTACATAGCGCCTTTCACCTCGGGAGGTTTTCCCAATGTGCAAGACAGGCAGAGTTACAGACCCGATCTGAGGGTTGGGGTGGGGGAAGCAGGAGGGCTACTAACTGAACAAGGCTGACACACAAATACAATATTCAGTAAGGATTCTAAATCTGCCTTTCCTCCCTTCGTTTCAAAGTAACTAACTACAGGGAAATCCGGTTATAACATTGTCATACATATCTAATGGGGAATTAGGAGGGAATGGGATTAGAGTAGATAGATTCAGTGGGGTAGTTAGCACGACACAGCGCTGTTAAGTCTCTCATTCCTTATGTAAAGTCGTACATGGAGTTAAACAACAGATGAAATAATTTTTAAAAATGTACAAATGATCATCCAGAAATTAGTTTACTTATAGACGTTTCATGGTTTGACATGCAGAGTGGGACAGATGGTCTGACCTAAGCCCACTGGTGAGGCTGAGCCATGGCTATGTTTACATACAGGAACAGCACAAGGGCTGGAGTGTGGTGTTGATGCGAGGAGCTGACACTCACAGTGAGAGGCAGAGAGCTTCACAGCATTACAGTTCAGCCCCAGACCCCACTCAGCACAACTGAGTATCACAATACATTTCCATGACAACAGGGTTTGACGGTAGCCCCACTATTGGATGGAAGGATGGAATAATAGCCAAATAAGGAGAGATGAACAAAACTGGCTTTTGTTTCAGAAATGTATAGAAAATCTGATGATTATTCAGTTCCACAGTTAGTTATTGTTGGAGGCTGAACCTGATTCAACCCGTATTCCAGGTATTAATTCAAATAGAAGCAGTTTGATTGTTTTTTACATGCTCCCAATGTTATTCATTATAAAGAATTTTTTTTTATAGGACAAGTAATGTGCTTTCCACCCCAAAGGATTCCCTCACTGGGCAGATAATAATAATAATAATAATCCTTGCATTTGATATAGCGCTTTTCACGTCGGGAGGACGTCCCAAAGCGCTTCACAGAACACACTGTAAAGTGAATTGACTGTATATTTGTGGGCGAACGCGGCAGCCAATTGCGCACAGCAATGTCCCACAAACAGTCGTAGATTGAAAATGACCAATTTAATTATTGGTTTTTTTTTTTTTGGTTTTTTTTTTTTTGGAGGGATTATTATTAGGCGTGTGGAGTAAGGAAACTTGCCCAAGGTTTCACCCTCTGCCTGGATGATGCAGGGCTGATATTTTGTTTATATTAAACAAAAATCAGTAAAAAATTAATTTGAAATTGAAAACTTTTCCCCTCAATCCCCACTTCCTGTCAGGCTCAGTTTTCCTTTGGCAAACCCCTGTCCCCGCTCACCTTGCTAATATCTGACTATATAGAGGTGTTACTGCTAATATCAGATTATCACACTGAATAGAAGTGTCAGCATTAATGTCAGATTATATAAAGGTGTCAGTGTTAACAGACTATACAAAGGTTATACTGCTTATGTCAGACCTCATAGAAGTGTCACTGCTAATATCAGACTATATAATAACAAAAATAACAATCCTTGCATTTGATGTAGCGCCTTTATTTGAGATATTATTACCCCCAGAAGGCGATCTTTCAATAACTAACAATTGGGTTCCTATTTACTGCTAGGTAAACAGAGGCGTGTGGAGAAAGGAAACCTGCCTAAAGTTTCAGCCCATGGGAATTAAACCCAGGTCCTATTGCTTGCAAGACAAGTGCTCTGACTACTATGCTAAGGGCGGGGCCGGATTGACCAACAAACTGGGCCTCGGCTTAGGGCCCCAAGGTCCGAGGGGGCCCCTGAGGTCTGATGAGAGGTCCCAGCTATGATTGACAACTTTACCTCTAGGGTGCACCTCTCTTCCTGTCGCTCTGCACTATGAGGTTACACTGAGAGTGATGGGAAAGCTTGTCAGGCAATGCTCTACATTTTTAGCTGGTTAGACTCCAGCAGCTACCCCAAACCCTGAGGTCCCCAAGCCTTGGCTCTCACCAACATGCACCTAATACTCTCCGGAATTATGCAAGCAGGGAGCGACTGCACATTCCATACAATAGATATTTTGGGTATTTACATGTGTAGGTGGGATGCATGGAATTCTCAGTTTAGTTTGGATACTCTTAAGGCTGAGACTGATAGATTCTTGAAAAATAGAGTGATTAGGGGATATGGGGATAGGGCAGGTTAGGTGAGAAGATCAGCCATGATCTTATTGAATGGCGGAGCAGGCACGAAGGGCTGAATGGCCTACTCCTGCTCCTAATTCTTATGTTCTTATGTTCTTAAGCTTTGTGATGGGTTTCTGCACGTAACAGACATCCAGCTGCCAAAAAAAAATATGGTACCTTACTATACCAAAGGAGGGGATTATTATATGAAGATAGGTCATGTGTCGAAGAGCTCTGAGATGCTACTCTGTGTGAAGGGTGCTGTATAAATGCAAGTTGTTGTTGTGGATATGTGATGTTCTCCACTGTATCTCTCAAGCTCTGTTTTGAAGGAGTTAACAGGAGCCACAGTGAGTGTGTCTCAGCAGCTGTCAATGATTGCTTTGCTTCCCTTATCACAGACCTTTTGTAAACTGAGATGAATTGGAAAGAAAGACATAGAGGTGGATTATTGTCCTTGCAAATAATCTCATTCCAATCAGCCACTCTTTCAATCCCCAGTGCCCCTCGCACTCCACGCTAAGTGCAGAAAGGTCGACACTGTGATTGACTGATTGTTAGCATTAAGAATTTTCCTCTGAATGAACAGGTATTGCATAAAGTTAGGAATGAGCTTGCATAGATTTAGATACCTTTACAATGAACACTCATCAAAGGCTGGTAATTACAGAAATTTCATTCAGAACTCTCCCTTCTCTACACAATTCATTGAATGATCTGTTAAAGCCTCACAGAAGAGCTTCCATCTCCTTATCCCTGTCTTTTGATGTCCCCATCATTGAAAGAATTGAACAGTCTGTCAGTTCAACACAGAACTGAATTCTCAAAGTATAGAGCAACTGTCCCAGGAAACCCCATGTCAAAGTACAGACAGGAGGGGGAATTAACAAGAGTAGAACATACACTGACTCTATACAGTTATACAGTGAGCAACACATTCATTGATTTTTAAAATGTTTCATATCATACATATAAATACCATATTTTCCCTCTCACCATTCTTGCCCCAACCCACAGCTCGGGTGCAAATCCTGGACTATAATTGTATATCTGTATTGTGTATTTTAATATTCCTCTCACCAATGAGCTCCCATTACAGTCAAAATGTGTTGACGGATACATCACTCCCAGGTTGCCTGTTCTAACCTATCCCAATCCCCTGGACCTCACACTGTACAGAGATTGTAGTGAGAACAACCACCTCCTGGCCACATAGTTTACATTCATCAATGAAAAGACTGACAAGAACAACTCACGTCAATGATCGCTCCACACGGCTTGCTGCAGATCCGATAATTTCTCCCAGTGTGAAAAACACCTGTCCGAGGAAATCCTACAGTGAGGCACAAAACAACAGCACTTTATATCAACAGGTGTAACACACAGTGCTTCATATCATCCAGCACACGACTATTCATATCATATAGCACACAGCACACAAGGCTTCATATCATACAGCACACAGCACTTCATATCATACAGCACACAGTGCTTCATATCATACAGCACACAGCACTTCATATCATACAGCACAAGCACTTCATATCATACAGCACACAGCACTTCATATCATACAGCACACAGTGCTTCATATCATACAACACAAGCACTTCATATCATACAGCACACAGCACACAAGGCTTCATATCAAACAACACACAGCACACAAGGCTTCATATCATACAGCACACAGCACTTCATATCATACAGAACACAGCACTTCATACAGCACACATACATCATATCATACAGCACACAGCACACAATGCTTCATATCATACAAAACGCAACGCTTCATATCATACAGCACACAGCACTTCATACAGCACACAGTACTTCATATCATACAGCACACAATGCTTCATATCATACAGCACACAGCACTTCATATCATACAGCACACAATGTTTCATATCATACAGAACGCAACGCTTCATATCATACAGCATATAGCACTTCATATCATACAGCACACAATGCTTCATATCATACAGCACACAATGCTTCATATCATTGGTTACTGCACACAACGCTGGATTTAATTTGCTAGCCATAAGGCGCTCTCTCTCCCTGTGTGGAACCATCACTTCAATCACATCATATTCTCCAGAGCAGTGTTCGGTGGCAGAACTCTGAAACGTGTGTAAGAACCTGGGGTCTTTTGTATGAAGTTCAGGAGAAAGGCACAGAGACCGAAGACAGCTGACCTGCCTAACGCCTCTGTGCATCGGCCCTGTGCTGTTGAGGGGCCACAGACAACAGTGAGGCAGGGAGTGGTTCCAAAGATCTAAATTAAATTGGCACATGGGCTGTAAGACTGGCACACTCACTGCTCACTAGCTCTCACTGGCACACTCACTGCTCACTGGCTCTCACTGGCACACTCACTGCTCACTGGCTCTCACTGGCACACTCACTGATCTCTGGCTCTCACTGGCACACTCACTGCTCACTGGCTCTCACTGGCACACTCACTGATCTCTGGCTCTCACTGTCACACTCACTGCTGACTGGCTCTCACTGGCACACTCACTGCTGACTGGCTCTCACTGGCACACTCACTGCTCACTGGCTCTCACTGGCACACTCACTGCTCACTGACTCTCACTGGCACACTCACTGCTCACTAGCTCTCACTGGAACACTCACTGATCTCTGGCTCTCACTGGCACACTCACTGATCTCTGGCTCTCACTGGCACACTCACTGCTCACTGGCTCTCACTGGCACACTCACTGCTCACTGGCTCTCACTGGCACACTCACTGCTCACTGGCTCTCACTGGCACACTCACTGCTCACTGGCTCTCACTGGCACACTCACCGCTCACTAGCTCTCACTGGCACACTCACTGCTCACTGGATCTCACTGGCACACTCATTGTTCACTGCCACACTCACTGCTCACTGGCACACTCACTGTATAAGAGCGCAGCAATTGCCTCACACTCAGGGCAGATCATCAATGTCACCCAATCGCTTAGCAGATTAGCAGATTCTTTATGAATAAATGAAAATTCAAAAGAGATTTTCACCTTCTGTTTGTCCAAGATACGTTGCAAGAGACAGAGAGATTGTGTTAGTGGCTGATGTTCAATCAGAGGGCACACGGGGGTACATGCAGATGGGCGTAATTAACAGACTAGATCTGCTGACAGACCTGGATATCCTTCACAAACACAGGCATGCTTAGATCCTTATAACAACAAGTTATAAAAAGCAGCAGCCTCAATACTATGGATTGTTCTCAGCCTATTTGTACTCAATTATAACAGAAGTATAATTAGGTTTTGTTCTGTTGTACGAATATATAGACAAGGTCCTGTCTTTCTGTTTAGGTGGATATTAAAAATCTCATGGCACTATTCAAAAAGAGAAGGGAGTTTCTCTCTCCTGATGTCCTAGTTACCAATCCCCAAAATAAAATTGGTCTCTCACTTCATTGTTGTTTGTGGGACATTGCTGTGTGCAAATTGGCTGCCACATTCACCCACACAATGCAATCACTCCGCTTTATATAAAATCTTGTGAAGTGCCTTCGGATGTCCTCCTGACATTAAAGTCACTATCAGATGTACAGATTTCTTTATTAATTATTATTATTAATAACAATATCTAATAATATAATGTGTTAGAATAATAAGTAATATTAATTATGATGAGCAGCGACTGGTTTACTCTGAAATTTTCATTCAGCAAAAAAGCCGCCAATGTTACTCTGAGCTGGAAGTGAAAAGGACCAGGGTTCACGGGAATTTTATGTTGGATCACAGCGGACTGAACCTCAACAGCACCGCAGAAAGTCAGAGAACCACTGCCATGGTACGGGGACCAAGCAGTACAGAACTGCTTCCCCACACCCCCTCCCCAACCCCCACCCACCCATAATTAGGCAGTTTTTTGTGCAGTTTGAATGGAGGACCTGTATTATAGAATCATAGAATCTTACAGCCATTCGGCCCAACGTGACGGCTCTTTGAAAGAACTACCACCTAATCCCACTACCCTGCTCTTAACCCCACAGATCTGCACATTTTTCATAGAATCAACTTCTGGAGGAAATGAATATGCATTTAATAACAATAACCTTACATTTGGTGAAACAGTTTTCATGTCTCAAAGTGTTTCAGAGAATGAAGTGCGGTGACCGGGTGTTTTTTGGGCAAACATAAAATCAGAGGTGATAGGACAGTGTGAGAGAGAGTGTCAGGGACGAAAAGTTATAGTCATGAGGATGAGTTTAGAATGTTACTGTGATAATAATAATCCTTGCATTTGATATAGAGCCTTTCACATAATCAAGACAGCTCAAAGTTCTTTTCAGGATATATTGGAAAGTGGATTGACTTTGTATTTTGTGAGTGAAAAGCAACAGCTAATTGCACACAACAATAATAATAATTCTTGCATTTGATATAGCGCCTTATCACATTTTGAGTCATCTCAAAGCGCTCACAGAATATACTGTGTAGTGACTGTGCATTTTGTGGGTGAAACAACGTCCTACAAACAGAGGCAAGAGTGCTACCACTGAGCCAGGCTGACACACAATTAACTGGTCTGCTTCAAGTCAACCAACATCCCTCCGCCACCACCCATCCCAGGTGAGCTTTTAGTCATTCTGCCCCATGCTCTTTCGAACTCCATTCCAGAGTCCCTCCGCCTTGCTCGCTCTCTCCCATTCTTAAAACCACTGTATGATCTGTCTCTTTTATCGCAATACTGTAGCTTGACCTCATCACAGGCCAATCTGTCACAAACCACAATAGCTGAGTTTCTTATCCATAAGATAGGGCCTGTCTTCTTAGCCAATATAAAAAAAGCCATTGCAGGAATAGAAGGTTACTTGCAGCAATCAATGGCCAGAGAATAACATCCAAACACTAACAACCTTTTTCCAATAGGTTTAATGAACTATTCATGTGCCTATGAGTTACAGAAAATGGAAATCGATTTTTCACCTTGACTTCAGCTGTCAAAAAAAAAGAAGCTTGTGACTTCTGTCACAAGGCCTCAGTCAGTGTAAACATGCAAACTGACTTGGGGCTGATGGTGAACGTAACATGCCAGCCCGTGTACTACTGACCGTGATTCACCAGCCCTGTGTGTGTGTACCACTGGCTGACATGTCAGGCCCATGTATGACTGTGAACATAAAAGAGGAGCTTCATGCAAACAACTAAAAGCGTGTCGCCAATGTCATGCATGACTGCAACCGTGATACATCACACAGTGTGCACAACACACCAGCTATACTGGTGACAGGCTACAGAATAATTTCCCAAACTCACTTGTTTTGAGATGTTTGTGCTCCGATAGTCCACATTGTACCTGAGGGCATAAACACGAACCAGTCAGACAGGCAGACAAACTGGCACAGATGACATGGGAGTAAAAGGGTTAAAACACAGCAATTTTTAATAGATTGTGTATTGGGAATGGGATCTTCTCCTACCATATTCCTCTGCTCACCCCCTCCTACTCTTATCAGTGGCCGAAACTTCAGTTCCTACACCCTAATCTTTGGACCTCCCTCCCTCTACCCATCCGTCTCGCCCCCTCTCTTTCTGTCCTTAAATCCTACCTCAAATCATAGAACCATAGAAATATACAGTCAATCTACTTTACAGTATATCCTATAAAGCACTTTGAGATGCCTCAACAACGTGATAAGGCGCTACATAAAATGCAAGCATTATTATTATCATAATTATTATTTATTAAATTTACAGCAGATGGAATTTAATAATAATAATTATGATAATAACGGTTGCATTTGATATAGTAACTTATCACACCGTTGAGGCATCTCAAAGTGCTTCATAGGATATACTGACAAGTGGATTAAGTGGGCACATTTTTTTTGGAGGGATTATTACCCCCGGGAAAGAGCAATCCATTATTCAGAAATCAATGTATGTGTGTGTGTGTGTTGTGGGGGTGGGGAGAGATTCAATCCTGTGATTTCCACCCCATTGAAAGCTTAGAAGCAAGGAAAATGATGTAGTAGCTCACTCCAGAACTTAACAACATGAGAATGTGGCCCGAATTGGTAGAGGCCACAATGTGTTGCACAATTTTAATATTTAAAGAGTCCAGTGATATTTCAGTCCTCGCTGGAGAATATGTGACACTTCACCACAAGTTACAAAAGCAGTTTGAATTCTACATCCCCAGACTTCAAGTATCAACATTTTCAATTTATCCATTCAATACCATCGCCAGAATTAAATTGATCAAAGCAATTTCTAGTCCTGCAAACTTTTCTTTGAATTCCCTCCATGAGAGCCCTTCGGCTAGGCTGGTTGCCATGGCTTGCCTCGAGACGAATTTCTGCAGAGAGCTATGATCAAGCTACGAGGCAACAGCTCCACATAACAGCCAATTACGCACAACAATGTCCCACAAACAGTCGTGGATTGAGCGGCCAAATTCTTGTTTTTTTTAAGAGATAATTACCCCCAGAATAGCGATCCGCCAATTGACTAACAACGGGTTCCTACTTACTGCTAGGTAAACAGGGACACGTGGAGTCAGGAAATTTGTCCAACTTGGAGTGGAGTGGAGTCCTGTCGCTCAAGTGAGAGACCTGAGTTCAATTCCAGGCAGGGCGAAACCTTGGACAAGTTTCCTTACTCCACACGCCTAATAATAATCCCTCCAAAAAAACAAAACAATAATAAATTGGTCATTTTCAATCCACGACTGTTTGTGGGACACAGCTGTGTGCAATTGGCTGCTGCGTTCGCCCACAAATATACAATCAATTCACTTTACAGTATATTCTGTGAAGCGCTTTGGGACGTCTAGAAGACGTGTAAAGCGCTATATCAAATGCAAGGATTATTATTATTATTAACTTTTCGCCCTGCCCAAGAATCAAACCCAGGTCCTCTCGCTTGTGAGGCGAGTTCTCTAACCACTAAGCTACAGGAATCCATAAATAGAATTAATTATAATTAAATACAATTAATTATAATTAAGTATAATAATATTTAAAGAGCTTTCAGCGTATGAATGTGATTTACAATTGATTATAATTCCAAATGCTATAGTACAGAAACAAGCACCACATTGTCTGATGTCTCTCTCCCGTGTGCTCCCTACATATCCTTCAATATTCTTTCTCTTATGGAATCAAATTCCCTTTAAAAAAGAATCTAACAACTGTCTCAACTATGATTAGTGACAGAGTTCCACATCCTCGTCATTAATGGTTTCACCAATTAAAAATGTACAGATAATGAGAGCCTCTGAATACCCACTCTTTGTCACTTTCTTTCCCTGAATATATATCAAAGGTGATTTACCTTTGATTGTGAGACTAAATCTCTTTGTATATTACCCCCCTGGCTCAGTTGGTAACAGTCTTGTCTGTGACACTGAAGGTGTGGGTTCAAGCCCCAAGTTAGGACTTTGAGCTCACAGCCTAGGCTGACGCTCCAGTGTAGTATTGAGGGTGCATTGCATTGTCAGTTTTTATGGAAGCCCCACCTGCCTGTTCAGGTGGACATTAAAGATCCCAATACTTCAGCAATACTCAAAAGGAGTAGGAAGATTTCCTGGTGTTCTGACCAACAATCCCCCAAATAAAATTGGGCACTCACTTCATGGCTGTTTGTGAGACATTACTATGCGCAAATTGGTTGCCATGTTCTCCTACAAATACACAGTCACTACATTTTACAGTAAATCTTGTGAAGCGCTTTGGGATTTCTTGATGTTGTGATAAGGTGCTATATCAAATGCAAGCATTATTATTCTTCATAATATTATCATCTTTATCCACGTGAAACTTTGCATAGCCATCATCCCTGCCTTTCTAGGAATGATGGGTATGCACTTATTCCTGGGTCGTTGCCTGTATTTGCAGCTGATCTACTTTAAGATCCTCACTCTCAGCTATGAATTCCTTAATGTCCTCTCACCACCCGATTTTTCTGATCTCCAACCTCACTCTCCTGCTGGTCTCCTCACCGCCCGGTACACGCCACTATTTATTGTCAAGCCTGGATCTCTGCAGAACTCCTCTATCTAATCCTCTTTCTATATGTCATCAAAAATTGCCTAAAGACCTACTTTGATCCTGTGTGCTTTGAGACGTACTCCCGATGTGAAAGCTACTGTGTAAATGTTAATTCTATTATATAAAGACTTTGAGGTGATAATGGAGTGCTCTGCATCATCTCCCTAAACTGCGCCAAGATGCTATTCTACATGAAGAACATTATGTAAATACTGAACTGGCTCCAAGGTGACATGTCTGGCCACAGAATGTCGGAATCAATTTAACCCTCTGCGACAGTCTCTAGTCCAGTTCCTGAGCAGGTGGGTCTGCAGTACTCCAGGGCACTGTTGATGACAGACCAACTAGCCTGGCTCACCAGTAGGACTTGAAGGGGCAGACACAGGCTGCACAAGCAGCAGGAAAGCTTGGCGGACAGCAATTTCAATGGCAAGCTATGCTGTTTTAACTGGTTAGACTCCAGCAATACCCTAACACACACGCTGTGGTCTGCAAGCCTTGTCTCTTGCCAACCTACTCCTAATACTTTCCAGAAGTAGTAAGCAGGATGCGTCCTCCCAGAGAGAGAGTGCACATTTCATTCCAGCAATCTCCCTCTGGGATTTCCATGTGTAGGTGGGATGCATGGAACTCTGTCTGGTTTGGATGGTAATGGGTTTCTGCGTGTGTCAGACACCCAGCTGACCAAAAAAAATCCAAATACAAGTTGTTGATATAGGCTGTTGCAATGAAAAAATACAGCCAAATCATCTCAAACCACTTCTCAGTTAATCACTGCCCAGTGTAGTGACTCTTATTTGTAGATTATTTTTGTTGGTGGGTGAACATTGGACCCTGCAGTTTCTGGGAGTTAATCATAAAGTTCCTGTAAATTCTAAAGAACCATAAATTTGTGGTTGCTAAGTGTGTTTTTGCAGAGAGAAAGGTGTGCCACCAATTGTTTGAAACACTAAAGACTCCTTGATATACTTGATCTCAAGCCTGACATCTTTGACCACATGTTCGGTCATCTTTCCCATCCCCGCCCTTTTCTGGCTCCACCCCCTGCTCGGGTGGCCAGTCTCGTGTGAAGTGCTTTGAGACATACTCCCGATGTGAAAGCTACTGTGTGAATGTTAATTGTATTATATAAAGACTTTGAGGCGATAATGGAGTGCAACCAAACTAGTCAGTCAGGTTCACCCAGGAGAATACCTTTGTTTCACTGCCAGCAAGAGTCCTTCATTAGCGGGTTAAACTCTAGCAGTTACCCCAATGCACACTCAGGGGTATGCAAGCCTTGGCTCTTGTCAACCTGTGCCTAATACTTTCTGGAATTAGGTAAGCAGGATGAGTCCCTCCATGGAGAGAATGTGCATTCCATTCCAAAAAGTTCTGTCTGGAATATTCATGTGTAGGTGGCATGTAAGGAATTTGTGGTTTGATTTGGATACACTTAAGCATGTTGATCGGTTTCCGCACATGTCAGACACCCAGCTGATCAAAAAAAAATCCTTCATTTGGCATAGTTCATGTAACATTGAAACATCTCAAAGCGGTTCACAGGGGAATTGCTGTCAAATGCAGTGAATCTGTGTTTTGTAGCTGAATACGGAATCTCAGCATCCTGTTCGACCCTTAACTGTCCTTCATACCCCACATTCATGCCATGATCCGCTCCGCCTTTCCCCATCTCCGCAACCTCGCTCGGCTCCACCACTGTCTCACACCGCAGGCCGCCAGATCCTCACACATGCATTCATAACATCTAGGCTCGACTAAGCAAACTCACTGCTTGTCAGCCTCCCCACCTCCTCTGGGCTGCAGGTCATCCAAAACACTGCAGCCTGTGTCCCCTCCCGCACCATGCTCTGCAATCCAATCACCCCATCCTTGCCCAACTCCACTGGCTTCCCATCTCACAGAGGATACAGTTCAAGATTCTGGTCCGCACTTTCAAAGCCCTCCTTCTAACTCCCTACCAACCTGCTTGTTCCCTCCGCTCTGTGCGTTCCGGTCTGCTTCACCCCACCATTGGTGGGCAGGCCTTCAGGTACTCTGCCCCCACCCTCTGGAACTCCATCCCACAGTCCCTCCCCCTCGCTCCCTCCCTTGCCTCATTAATAATAATAATAATCCTTGCATTTGATATAGCGCTTTTCACGTCGGGAGGATGTCCCAAAGCGCTTCACAGAACACACTGTAAAGTGAATTGACTGTATATTTGTGGGCGAACGCGGCAGCCAATTGCGCACAGCAATGTCCCACAAACAGTCGTAGATTGAAAATGACCAATTTAATTATTGTTTTTTTTTTGGAGGGATTATTATTAGGCGTGTGGAGTAAGGAAACTTGCCCAAGGTTTCGCCCTGCCTGGAATTGAACTCAGGTCTCTCACTTGCAAAGCGAGTGCTCTAACCACTGAGCTACAGGACTCCACTCATTGAAGACCCATCTCAAGACCCTCCTCTTCGACCATGCCTTCAGTCATGGTCACCCTCCTTCCCCCCTGCCCTCCATCCTCCGTGATCTTGACCCTCCGCTTGGGCTCGAAACACTGATTGTCCAGTGTCTTGGCACTATACAAATGTAATTTTATTGTTGTTGTTGAATGCGGCAGCCAATTTGCACATAGTAAACTCCCACATACAGCCATGAAGTGAACGATCCATTCACCTGCAGGACTATTGGCCAAGACATTGGAAGAAAGCCCCCTCTCGTTTCCAGCAGTGTCATGGAATCTTTAAACGCCACTTCAACAGGCAGACCTCGGTTTAACGTCTCATCTGAACTCTACCCAATAAGCCACTGGGCAACTCTACAATAATGATCATACGCCAAGTAGAATGGATGTTTTGCTAACACTCAGTGCAACTGGTCTTGGGGAACCAAGTCATAAGGTATTTTATAGCCATTCAGTTTATAGTATCTCTGCTGGTTTCAATTGCAACATATATTCCCCTCTTCCCCCCCTCTACACACACACATCTAACTCCAGCTTGAATTCCCTGCTCTTTCCCCTTACCCCTCCCCCTAGAAATTTTTAACTCTAATCTCATTTCTAATGCTGGGTTCAGCCTGACTCAGTTGGAAGAACACTCGCCTCCAAGTCAGAAAGATCGAGTCTACAAACTCACAACTCTTAAGATGACACACCACTGCAGTACTGGGGGAGTGTTGCATGCTAACTGCAGTGCAATGCAGTGCTGGGGGGGAATGCTGCAATAGCGGAGGTGCCATCCTTTGGATGAGTTGTTAAACCAAAGTCTTGTCTGCCTGTTCAGGTGGATGTTAAACGTCCCATAGCACTATTCAAAAAGAAATTGTTCACTCCATGGCTGTTTGTGTGACACTGCCGTGTGCAAGTTCACTGATGCATTTGTTTGCAAAAACACAGTGACTACACTTAAAGTAAATCCCGTGAAGCACTTTGAGATATCCTCTTGAATTGAAAGATGCTGTATCAAATGAAAGGAGTAATATATCTTGGTCTTCTCCACTGTGTGCTAGCCATCTGCCTAAAGCTAAAACAGTAATCCCATTCGCTTCTTGCCCCCTTTAATATATTTGCTCCTCACCATGTTGCAGACAAACACAATGGTGTTTATTTAACTGTGTGTAATTGGCAAGGGTTGCTTACTCAGTGTGAGCGGGTTGACACCTGGGGGAATGTCTGGGACAGTTCCACGTGTTAAATGTTGTTATCTCTGACAGGTCAGACTAGGGAATAGAAGCGTAGTATAATTAGCTGAGAAATACAAACATCTGTGAGGCTCTAACTACTGAGTAACATCATCATACATGTTATCTGTGTGTGTGTGGTGGGGGGGGAGGGTGGGTTGGTGGGTAGGATGTATGTGGTGACATTATCTGCATATGCATATGTGCATTTCTGTGTATATGTAATTGTGTGGGCTCTACTGGGTCCGGACTCCTCCATGTCCCCGAATTCTCCGCTCCACCATCGGTGGTCGTGCCTTCAGCCACCATCCCCTCAAACTTTAGAACTCCCTCCCTCAACTCCTTCACCTCGCCCCCTCGTTCCCCATCTTCAGGTCGCGCCTGAAGACCTTCCTTTTCGACCGCACCTACGGTCACCTTCCCCCACCCCCTGGCTCGGTCTTAGGCTCCATCATTGTTACGTACTCTGAGGCGCCGTCCGGCGTGGAGGGCGCCTTTAAGTGCAAGTTGCTATTGTTGTTGTAATTGTGTGTGTGCGCCCACCTAATCTAGTCCATATCTTGGCTGAATTAATCTCAGTCAGGGGAGTGGGTGGCAGTGCATCATCAGTGGCGCTGTCCTTGTCTTTGAAATAAGACATAAGACTGAGGTCCTGCCTGACTTTCAGGTTAAAGATCCCATGACACACACACCACACCACACACCACACCACACACAACACACACAACTCACCCCACCACACACCACACACACCACACCACACACAACACACCACACCACACACAAAACACCACACCACACACCACACACAACACACCACACAACACACAACACACCACACACCACAGCCCACACCACGCACCACACACCACGCACCACACAACACACCAGACACAACACGCCACACACCACACCACGCACAACACACTACACCACACACCACACACAACACGCCACACACCACATCACACACCACACCACACACTACATCACACACCACAGCACACACAACACACCACACACCACACACCACATACCACACAACACGTCACACACTACATCACACACCACACACTACATTACACACCACACAACACATCACACACCGCACCACACTGCACCAGATACCACACAGCACACCACACACACCACACCACACACTACACACAGCATACACACACCATACCACACACCACAAAGCACACACCATACCACACACCACACACAGCACACACCACATCACACACAGCACACCCCACACCACACCCCACACACCACACACACCACACACAGCATACACTGCTCCACACAACACATACCACACCAAACACACCACACACCAAAACACACACCACGCACCACATATAGCACACACCACATACCATACCACACACCACACACACCACACCACACACCAAAACACACACCACACATCACATGCCGCACCACACACCACATATAGCACACACCACACACACCATACCACACACATCACACACCACACCTACCACACCACACCACATGCCACACCACTCACACCACACCACACACCAAACCACACCAAACACACCACATATACCACACCACACAGGAAATCTGTGTCCTGCCCCTGCGGGCACCCATACATTCTGTTGAACTTCTCAAGTTTTAAATTTTCAGGAACATTTAATTCTTTCCCCCACCAATATTATAATCATTCAACTGAGGAATCTTTTCCTGGGCAGAGCCTGTGAGCTGCTCAGTGTTTGTATGGCTGGTGTGAAAGATTGCAGTCAGGTAAATCATTAGTGTTTGTCCCTTGTGGCTGGTTCCCTGCCAGCATTGAGAAGTAAAGATGTGGGGGAGCGGGAGAGGCTACAGAGCACAGACAGGACAGGTCAGGCTGCCCACACACAAATACACAGATACACTCACACCAACACACACCCCAACACACACTAACACCAACACCAAAATACTCATTAACAGACACTTGTTGGCCAGGAGCTCTGCTGAATGAAGGGATTGGCTGGGTCGGGAGGGTTTGAGATCACAGAGGTAGGGTGGGGGCGAGGCCATGGTGGGATTAAAGGTCAGAATGATGATCTTAAACTCACTCCGCGGGAGGATGAGGCGCCAATTGAGCCGAGCAAAAGTGGCAAGGCTCGTACCCTCTATCTTTCTGGTGCCCAAGAGGAGAGTGACAAGTAGCAGAGTCCCAGAACGAGAGGGTCTGATGTAACCGGCCCTTGCAGGATCTGCAAACTACACACCTCACAAACCAGACACCCGGACTCCAGCACTTTGGTCAGGATGGGTTTAAGGTGAGAGGTAGCCTCTGCCTCGCTCGTGTTGGGGGTGGTCAGAGCAGTGGCAGCTCACACAGGAAGCTTCATTTACTCACACATCAAAGCGAAGGCTCTGCTTCTCTTCAAAAAAGTAATCCAACACGAACTTGCGAACAAAGTCGGGGTTCAGCGAGTTTTCAATCACTTCAGTCCTTCCGTACTGAGGGGAGAAGCACAAAGTCAGTGAGATGTCTGCAGGAACCTACCTTTGGGAACACAGTTGTAACTTATAATAATAATAATAATCCCTGCATTTGATATTGCGCCTTATCACATCTTCTATCCGTCTCAAAGCGCTTCACAGAATATACTGTAAAGTAAATTGACTGTATATTTTGTGAGCGAAAAGCGGCAGCCAATTGCGCACAGCTGTGCCCCACAAATAGCTATAACATCTCCCATCCGGTTCACCCAGTTCAATTAAGGGGAGAGTGATAAGAAACAGAATTAGACAAGCTGTTGCAGAGCTTCATACAGAAAAGAAATGGATCAAAAGAATAAATAGAGTTTGTACGATGGCAGGTGAAAAAAGCAATTGAAGCTTTTCAATTTCTCTTCAGTGAAGTCAGCTGGTCTCGCTCAATCATAGGCTGGAGATAACACTCAGTGACTGCAGAACAGAATTACAAAGGGTGGGGGCAGAGAGGCTGAAGGCTGTGGAGAGCTCTGACTGCAAGGAAGAGGATTTTTAACTCAATCCTCTGGGGGATGGGGAGCCAGTCGACCCTGGCGAGGGTAGGGTTGATAGGGTCACAGAGCCTGGTGCGGGAGAGGACACAAGCTGCAATTCTGAATTATCTGCAGCTTGTAGGGCAGTGTTGCATTATCAGAGGTGCTGTTCTTCAGTTGAGAAATTAAACTCATGTCACGTCTGCCTGTTCAGGTTACCGTTACTTCTGTTTTTAAGAAAAGTAACAAAAGTGACCCAGGAAACTACAGACCAATAAATTTGATGCCCAATCTAGGTAAAATTATGGAGGCTCATATTAAGGATAAAATCATGCAATGCAGTGCCTCGACAGAAATAAAATCGTAGATGATATTATGAGTTCATGAAGGGGAGGTCTTGCCAATCTAATTTACAGGTTGTTTGACAGTCATAAGCACAGTGGCTAAGCTTGCTGATGACACCAAGCTAATGATGGTGGTAGATTGCGAAGCTGGACAAGATAGATTACAGGAGGATTTGAACATACTTGGGAATTGGGCAGATCGGTGTCAGATGAAATTCAATGTGGAGAAATGTAAAGTACTTGTCATGGGGACAAAAAAAAATGTATGGAAAATTAAAAGGACCTGGGATTCCTGATTGACAATAAATTGAAGCTCTTGCAACAATGCTCTGTGGCAGTGAGTAAAGCAAACCTGATGTTGGGATGCATCAAAAGATCAATAGAAAGCCAAAATAATGGGGTAATCCTGCCACTGTATAAATCATTGGTGAGACTATACTTAGTACAGACCATACTGTGTACGGTTCTGATCACTGCAATACAAAAAGGATATGGGAGAAATTGAGACGATACAGAGGAGGGCAACCAGAATGATTGAGGGAATGGAGGGTCTGGATCATGAGAAACGACTAAGTAAATTGGGTATGTTCACGCTGGAGATTGAGTGGTGATATGATTGCTGTCTTTATGATTCTAAACGGGCTAGATCGACTTCAAGATCCTCCCCTTGTCTTCAAATCTCTCCACTCCTCTGCAGCCCCCTACCTCTCTGACCTCCTCTCCGTTGCCTTCTTTCCACCGGGTCTGGCTTCCTCCTTGTCCCCCAAATCCTCTGCTCCACCCTCGGCGGCCGCGCCTTCAGCCACTACACCCCGAGGCTCTAGAACTCCCTTCCTAACTCTCCTCGCCTCGCCCCCTCTCTTCCTATTTTCAGGTCTCGGATGAAGACCTTTCTTTTCGACTGCGACTTTGTTCCTCCCCCTCCCCCTGGCTCGGCCCCTGGATCCATTACTGTGAAGCGCTCTGAGACGCCGTCCGATGTGGAGAGTGCTATATAAATCCAAGTTGTTGCTGTTGTTGTTGTTGTTGTAGACAATGTAGATCATGACAGGCTGTTTCAAGTAGTCCAGAGTAATAAAACTAGTGAACATGGACTGCGATTGAAGGGGAGTAAATTCAGAACAAATCTACAGAAACACTATTTCAGTGAGCAAATAGTGAACCTGTGGAACAGGCTCCTGAGAGAGACAGTTGAAGCAGGAAATGTTGATTCCTTCAAACACCGATTAGATAGCTTTCTTTTATGAAATAACATTATGGGATACAGTAAATATGTATTTTGGGACATATGTGCCTGCTACAGCCAGGAAGGTGGAAGGCAGACGAGATGGAACTCTGTCTTTTTTTAGTCTATAATTCTTATGTTCTTATGTTGAGGAGGGAACAATTAGGAAGGCCGACAAGCAGGGAGTTGGCGTAGTCGAGCCTAAATGTAATGAATGCCTGGGTGAGGGTCTTGGCGACCTAAGGGGAAAGGCAGTGGCAGAGCAGGGCGATGTTGCAGAGGTGGGGGAAGGCAGAGTGGGTCATGGCCACGGATGTGGAATAGAAAGGACAGTTGAGCGTCAAACAAGACTGGCTTAGTAAGGTGGCGTGTGCATCCTTGGATGGTAATGCTGCCAGCGGCTGAGGTGTGGAGGCTGTCATTTGTCACTTTAACCTCTATGCTGTGGGCAGCACGGAAACCCAATTCGAAGGGTACATAGAGGGAGTGGTGGGAGAAGAAGGAGCGAAGCTGGGAAGCAATGACTCATTCCAGCCAAGTGAATTGGTTGCTGATCGCATTGCTTATATATTAACATTCACTTGATTTCTATGATTTCTTATTGTCTCTAGGTTAATGCTCCAGTGCAGTGCTGTGGCTCTAAAATAGGAGATACCTGTGGAGTCCTGTAGCTCAGTGGTTAGAGCATTCGCCTTGCAAGCGAGACACCTGGGTTGAATTTCAGGCAGGGTGAAACCTTGGGCAAGTTTATTTACTCCACACGCCTAATAATAATCCCTCCAAAACAATAATAAATTGGTCATTTTCAATCCACGACTGTTTGTGGAAGACTGCTACGTGTAATTGGCTGCCGTGTTTCACCCACAGATATACAGTCAATTCACTTTACAGTATATTCTGTGAAGCGCTTTGAGACATCTAGAAGACGTGAAAAGCGCTATATCAAATGCAAGGATTATTATTATTATAGGAAAAACTATAGTTGAGGAAAAACTTCTTCACTCAGAGGTAGCGAATTTATGGAATTCTCTATCCCAAAGTGCTGTAGATGCTCAGTCCTTGAACATATTCAAGACTGAGATTGATAAGATTTCTTGTGGATAAAGGGATTAAGGGTTATGGGGATAAGGAGGGTAGGTGGAGTTAGAATAGATCAGCCATGATCTTACTGAATGGTGGGGCAGGCTAGAATGGCCTACTCCTGGTCCTAATTCTTATGTTCTTATGTCTGCCTATTCAGATGGGTGTTAGCAACAACAACAACTTGCATTTAGATTGCGCCCCTCACACAGGGTAGTGTCCCAGAGTGCTTGACAGTGGTGGAGCATGACGCCGAGCCAGGGGGAGGGGTAAGTGACCATTGGTATGGTCGAATAGGAAGGTCTCTTCAGGCGCGACCTGAAAATGGGGAACAAAGGGACAAGGCAGAGGGATAGAGGAAGAGTATTTCAGAGCTTTGGGGCATAGCAGCTTTAAGTGCGGTCACCAATGGTAGAACGAAGGGTATGGGGGTCATGGAGAAGGCCGGAGCCAGTCAAGCAGAAGCAGTGTTGTGGGTTGTGGGGTAAGCAGCACCTTGGGATGTCCTCCCGACGTGAAAGGCGCTCTATAAATGAAATCTTGTTGTTGTTGTTGTAAGCAGGTCGGAGAGGTAGGGAGGTGCCAGGGCATGAAGGGATGTGAAAATGAGTTTAGGGATCTTGAAATCGGCCTGCTCGGTGATGGGGAGCAAGTGGAGCTTGGCTAGAACTGGTATGATGGAGGTATGGAGTTTAGCACGGGTGAGTATGTGGGCAGTGGATTTTTGGATCAGTTGAATCCTGTGCATGGTGGAGCTGGAGAGATCAACTTGCCCAAGATCAAGAGGGCATTTGAAAAGTTCAGTCGGGAGGTGACGAACTCATGAATAAGTGTTTCAGTTGCATCTGGGGTAAGGTACGGTCGGAGCCAGGTAATATGGTGGAGGTGGAAGAAGGCATTCCTGGTGAAGGAAGGACAGCTGTGGGTCGAACCTGATGCCTAGGTTGCGCATTGGTTCGGTAAGTCTGGGGGAATAGGCCAGGGAGGTTGAGGAAGTCAGCCGCAGGATAGAAGACATTGATGGAAGCCAATGAGTATGGCTGCCGTCTTGACAACATTGAGTTGTAGGGTACAATATTTTTGGTTTGTTTGTGGGATATTGCAGTGTGCAATTGGCTGCTGGTTCACCTACAAAATGCACAGTCACACTTTACACTTTACAGCAAATCTTTTGAAGCGCATTGAGCCATCTTTCTGAAGTAAAAAACACACGTTATTCGGTACAATATTTTGGTCAGCCAGATTTCTGACACATGCAGCGACCCATCTAAATACTTAAGAGTATCCAAACCAAACTGAGAGTTCCACATATGCATACCACCTTTACTCATAATAACTCTCATGTGTATATTATATAACACCATCATATATAACTGTGTGAATTACTCCTACACCCTTCCATGGATTTCTTCACCAATAGAAATCCCTCTTGAATTTGTCATATAACAATTTACCTCCACCACTTCCTGAAGTGTGCGCTCCTCACAATGACCGTTCTGTGCAGCTGAATCTGAGCCTTCCCTCTGCAGCTCCCTGCATGGTGTGCGGACAGATGCTGCCGTGCTTCCCACAGCATAGAGGTTGAAGTGACAAGGGGGGTGGGTGTGAAAGGAAGGGGTGATGTCAGCATTGAGCTTCCGATTCCCGTTCCATAAAACTGCTTGGGCTGAGGAACAATTACGATGATTGAACCACAAGAGTGGGTTGGAGGAAGAAAGCCCTTCAGTCTCTTTGATCTCCCACACCCACCCACCCTACCATCCTCCCATGATAATAATACTTATATTTGCTACAGCTTCTTTAATGTTTATATGAACAGGCAAATTGAACATTGGTTTTAAT